GTGTGTGTGTGTGTGTATGTATGTATGTGTGTGTGTGTGTGTGTATGTTTATGTATATATATATATATATATAACATACCACTCCTCTATCAGCCAACACCATGGCACCAGCTTCCAAACGCTTCTCCCCCGTCTCCATATCTGTAAGTACCGCTGCGGTTAAACCCACACCACTCGAACCTCGACCGGTGGTTGCGATAGCAACGGTGGCCGTGTTCAGCATGAATCGCAAGGCTTGTGATTTGGCAGTTGAGGGATCACCTATACCGAGTGAACACAGCGTTAAAACAGTATCATCACAGAAGTTACGTATAGATGACATTTGCCATGGTTGATTGGGTCATGGACTCGTGGGATTGAAATGAATCTACGCGTTCACGTTAAGCTGTGACATTGAGCTTCTTGAACATATTGAGGTTGTCTGTTATCATGTACACGAGACTATACTTATACAAGTGAGGAAACGTTCTCTGCTAAATCCCAACTATCCAGGTGACGTATACATTGGAATCGGGTCGACGCAACGTGCTGTTAGATAGGGGCATTGCAATGTTAAGTATGCATGTGCCAATCATATGCTGCATGATTGCACCAAGAAACTTGTCCTTAATACAGACGGGTTTACAATCCGATTATTAATGCTGTTGATGAAAATGGGGCTTCAACCCCCAGAGATGCCTGTACAGCCCGGGCTGTACACGAGTATTTACGGCCACATGTACACATGCGCACACTAGAGTGTGAAAACCTGCAGGACACGGTCACGCCCGAAAAGAAAGAACGGTTTATTATATGCCGAAGTTTACATACCGACCATCAGTATGTTAATATCTCCACGCAAATGAGTGCCATTCTCCAGATTCTTCTCAACGCCACCCAACAGCTGGCACAGCAGTCTGTACAGAAAACAACGATAGAAGGTTAACCAAAGAGATAATACATGCGTAGGACCAGATCACGCGCTCATATATGATAGTGTACACCCCTGTGCAGCTATGATGTGCATACTTAGCATTTTGCAGTGACGATGTGTATTCGTGAAATATGCATGAGAAAGCACATATAAATATGACCTGCACCCGTTTGGCCGGAAGCAATGCTCTGCGATAATCGGCTGACAAATTAGTACACTCTGTGCGATGCCGTTGCTGTCTAGTTCTTCCAGACACGTTTTAATGTTCAAATAATTGCATGGTATATGGAACGTTAAACGGCACATTGATTAACATCACGAGAACGCACATTCAAATACAACTTACGCTCGTTTAATCCAGCTATGTCCGTAGATAGACGGAGCCATACTCTGTGCCAATCTGTTGACAATGGACACCTTTTTGTCCTCCGCCAATTTACGCATGGTCCTGATCTCCGTTGGGGTTACCTGTCATATATAATATAGCTCAGTATATTAAAAAGGGTCCCTAGACTTCTTCATATATTTGAATATGAAGATAAAGATATATATA